GAATTAATTTCTTAATTAATCATATTTTTTAAAGTTAATTGATTTTTGAAAATCAAAATCTTAAAATTTAAATTTAAATCAGTTTTTTTTTTAATTTGTAATTTATTAAAAAGATTCGATTTTTGGCGATTAATCATTTCAAAACTCTGGATATTATGTTTAAAAGGGGGATTAATTAAGGATTTTCTTACTATTAATTTTGTAAAATCTAATGATTCTTTAAATCTAATCATTTAAAATCTTGGACTTGAAGGCTATCAAGGCCAGATGATCAGTGAAATTTCCAGCAGAAGTGGGAGTAGCGTTTGTGAGAATTTCAGAATTTGGAATGTGGAGAAGCAATAGCAGGATGGCTTGGGAACAAATTGCGCCCGAATTTCTGAGTTTACATCTCTAAGAAAAATAGAGCAATGCTAGGAACACTCGCCATTTGCACTCTCCAACCAACACTTCCATTTTCATTGGGCCACGTTATGTTGGTTGGAGAGGTAATCATTTCATTGCTCAAGCAAACTTACGTAGCCCAATAAAAAAGCATGTGTTGGCTGGAGAGTGCAGGAGGCGAGTGCCCCTAACACCGCTCAGAAATATATGATCCTGTGCTTTTTTATTTCCAACAGGAGCTTCTTTGGGTGATGTCCCTGTACTTTAGCACCAAGTTGGACTTCTGTTCATAATAACGTTGGTAAGCCTGTTCCCCGCGTTCAGAATGCGTGGCCAAAAGGCTTTGATTTGTCGGTCCTTTCCCACTTAGGGAGCAGTTAGAAATTAAAGATGTGGGGCTCAACTAGTGGATGTTCACACCTAAGCTAAGTAGCAAAAATTTTATACTAAGAGTGGAGCGTGACGTAACCAGCACAATGGGTTAATTGGTTCACCATTTAAGCCTAAAAATTAGGACTAAAGTAGGATGGGACTTTTACCTTTATTTATTACTTGAAAAATATTCTCCCTTTTTCAAGTTTTTTCATGTTAAAAAAAAAAAAAATGAAGAGTAATAAATAAGTAGAAAGAATTTTATATTAAAAGTAGAAAGTGATAAATAAGTAATTTATACATATAGAAAGATTAATAAATTTAATAAATTAATTTTTTGAGTTAAAAATAATGTTTTCATATATTAAACTTTTCAAAAATTATTATTAACCCAATTATTCAATCTATACGATACTTTAATTTAAAATCATTTAGCATGAAGTTATTTATGATAAATAATAATAATAATAATAATTGAAGTTACGAGTCTCTTTTCTTACCTTTTATATTTTCCACTTTAAAGGAGCAAAGACAAAACAGATTGAAATTCCAAATGGAGCAGAGACTTTGAAAATTCTAATTTTGCCAGGGATGAAACGCCATGACTTCTGTAATTTTCTGGTTGCATCCACTCTGATGATAATTCCAAGTTATTTAATTAGATCAATGGACTCAATTGACTGACTCATCAATTCTTTCGAAGATACAATTCTTTCGAAGATACAATTCTTCTAATATATACATAAAAAAAAAAAAAGCAGTTTAACTCATGTAAATTGCGTGCGTAATTGAAGTGAAAAGACCCTGAATGTGGGGACTTTCTCTCAAAATCAATGGCCACAAAACAGCATTTTTATATATAAATAGGATAATAAATAGTA